TTCACAGTTCAGTCTTTTTGATTTGGTTTATTTGAGCTTCATGACTTTGAGTAGTTATGATTTGTTATTATTTGGACTTCTAATAATGGGAGATGCTTTCCTGACAAATCTTGCTGACAAAAATTGGCTCCTTCTGTGTTGAGAGCTAAGATTTCCTCTTCTTTTCAGTGCCGCTGTTTTTTGAAGTCTTTGATGTGGCTTCTGGTTCTCACCAGGATTTCCAAAAATCACTTCTCTGGAAGTGTTCAAAGCCAGGTTGGATGGAGCTTTGAGCAACCTGGTCTAGTGGAAGGTGACCCTGCATGTGGCAGGAAGGGGCATTAAGGCCCCTTTCATCCCAAACCATTCTGTGATTCTAGGATGGATCTCCTCCTAGCTGAGCGATGTTCAGACTGAGGGTGAATTCTAAACTAAACTGGTGAAAATCCAGAAAAATTCTGCAACATGTGGTGTGTTATGGTTATTTGGTAAGAAGTCATAGATATATTGGTGATGCTGACAAAGGGAGTGGGAACTTGAATTTGAATATGGAAACAAAATCGGATGGTGACATCAGCTACTTTAGACTGGTTTATAATACAAACTGAATGTGTGATGCAGCACATTTTCCAGTAATCATGAAATCAATCAGACAGGGTAGGGAGAGAAATGGGAGGCTTCTCCACCAGATAATTTAAATTTGCTTGAGCGTGGGGTTCTTTACAGCCATCAGCACTGATTGAAAGTCTAAAGTAAAGCTTTGAAGGAAAACCTGTGATTTATGATAAAAAGAAATACGTAATTCTGTGTTTCTAGCAGAAGAAATGTGAGCATCTGTGTTTTCAACAACTTTCTGTCTCATTTCCTCATCTTTCCCTCTGAACAAAGTACCGACTGACACTGGGGATGTGATGTTCTTCCTGTCTAGGAATCCCTCTGGCTGACTACTATGAATTCAGAGTATCCATGGATAGGACCCCCAGGGGTTTTGTCTGCCCAGAGCTGGACAAAATAGATTTGAAACTCAAATGCCAAAATAATGCTGAGAAAAGGTGTGTGTCTCTGCAGCCATTGTTTAAGTACACTCTTGTTTAGTTCACGTTGTTTCCTTTGTATTTGCATTCAAAACGAACGAAAACATTAATAAATGTTCTGTGAACTAACTCCTGAAGATTCAGAGCTGAGCAAATGGCATTTGGAGTTTCTTCTAGATGTTTCAGTGAAAATCAGATATCTGATTTATAGTTTGTTACTGATGATCAAGTTTGTTAGAATACATATTTTCATAGCCTTATTTTAAAGTTCAATGCATTGAATTATTCTCCAAAAAGCCAGATGCCAGAATTCTTGCCTAAAGCTTTAAGAAACAGATACAGGAGGTGGTGGAATTACAAAGCAGTTCTTCTGTGTCTTCTGGAGGTCGACTGCCTTACCAGGTGCACTTTGAAGGTTCCTTGCAAACCATAGAGTGTGATCTTTCTGATTCTGCTCAGTTTTTGGGTGCATATCTACACCTTTCAAGCAACACTTGAAAAAGGCAGGTACGTTGTTTTTTGCTCCTGTTTAAAACAACAGCTCAGGCAGCAGGCTTTAGGAAGTTCTCAATCTTAGTCCTTTAATCCTCCTTGAATACTATCGCACTGCTGCTTTACTCACAGTGGGTTCTGGGGTTTGTGTGGGTGTGGAAAGTGAAGTGAGTCATTGTGGCAAAAGAAATATCCTGAATTGTAGCTATTACAGAGTATTAAGCAATTGCCCTTGGTAAGAAGTGATAGTAGAAAATAATAGCATATTCATTTTGTTGTTAAAAATGGACTGTCTAACCATATATCTGAAAATCTCAATTAAAGTCAATCTTGATGCTCACAGCAGATAAGTATAATGAAGATTCTAAGAGATCTGCTTTCATACATATGAATAAAATAATTACTATGCAGCATATCTAAGTAGTTGGCGCCATCAGAAAGTCTACCCTTGAACAACAAGAAAGGAAGAAAATGTCCTTTATTTTGTAGTCAGAAAGAAAGTCTTGACTATGTATGTGGCACATTTTGCACGTCACTAGCTGTAAGATATATTTCTTTATAAACATGACAGCTCTACTAAGGATGGTACAAATATTCCCTGCTCTTGTACAAACACAGCTAAACTTATCTCTTTGAGAATGTGCCGAATGTCGTATCTTTTAATGTAACACCGTCTGCGCCGCTGGTTCCTGGTGCAACTATGACACACGTTTTCACTGTGCTTTGAAATTATGCAGCGTGTTTATCCACCCACTGTATATTCTTTTATGCAGTTTTGTACGGGAAGTTTTGTCTCTTGTACTTGAATGACACGATGGTGCAGTCGTGTTTCATACTGTCAGGGAATGTTGTCAGTGCTTCTACGCGTCAAAAACTGGTAGAAATACAGTGATGCAAATTAAAGTAGTTGAGGTGACTACAAATGTTAAGCAACTGCTCTTCATTAATTAAATTGACTTGCCACTCATTACTGGCAATGTAGGAAAAAATTAGTAAACTTCCCTCTGTGTGTATCTCTCCGAGGTTGCAATGCAATAAAATGAACTTGACTTCTAAGGAAAAGCTCCTGCCAGTGTTACTTACAGACAAGATGAAGAAGTGAAAATGTTTGTTTACCAATATACTTACTCTAGACTGGGAAATTAGATTTTATTCCTAATGTGCTCCATTTTACATTTGACATGAACAATAATATTTAGCAAATAATTCTGAGGTTCCAGTTCAGGAAACACATTCTGATTAGAGACTCAGAATTGCATGAAGGCATAAAACCAGCCATAATCTTTCTTTTTGTCTGGTGATTCTCATTATAAATCCAATGTTTTTCCAACATCCAACTCTTATTTGCATTTCTTTTCCTCCCCCGCTTTTTTTCCTCAGAGAAAATAATTTGAAAACAGTAGCTTGTCAAATTACTGGAATTAGTTTACCTGAAAATATCTGATGATAATGTCATCAAAACTGTGTGTTCTGAGCATATTCTAGTTACAGGTAAAATCCCTGCTCTTTCCTCATGGCAGATAAACCAACACTAGGTTAATAATGCTCAGTCAGAGATATCTTATAATAAATCCTCCTATGTTCTAAATTCATTACTGGCTTTGCTGGATATCTAGATGGAGAAAACAGGAACAGATGAGACACACCCAGATTGTGAATCTGTGACTGGAAAAACTGCACTAATCCTAGGTTCAGGTCCTTGAAGGAGAGCAACTGTAACACCTACTAAATGCCCATAAACAGTCAGGGAGAAGTTGGGATTGGAGAAAAAAGGAAGAGGGGAGCAGATCAGATTGAGATGTGATTCTCCCTCCTTGTAGATTTGTCCATCTTCAAAGTTGTACAGCTAATGAAGAATAATTATCGCTTATTAATTGCTCATTAGCTTAACAATTGCAACTCAATAGCACTATATGTCACAAGGCTTCTCTTAGGCAAAAAGAAGAAAATTCTCTTGACCGCAGCATCAGAGGAAACAGCTCTTAGCAGCACCTGAGCATCAGTCCCGAGGAGAAAAGACTCCAAGACATGCATGTTGCACAGGAGTGAAAGGGTGCCAGAACTTCCAGGGTACCTCTTGGTATCATTATCTGTGCCTGGGACTCAACACTACACACATCTTCAGCAGCATGTCTGCAAAAACTCTTCCAGCAGAAACTGAACTTCATTTGTCTAATTGCTGAGAATTACCCCTTCAAATATAGTGACACCACAAATTTTGCTCAAAGCTAAAATGACAGATGTATCAGAGGAATTTTTTTTCTTCATTATGTTAAGACTTTCTATAAGTTTCCCAATAGTTTACAATAACTGAATAAACCCCAACTTTTAAACAAGAATTGAGTTGGAAAATCAAAGACTACTTTCATTAGTGCTCCTTTACAGGAGACTGATGGCTATTTTATGTTGACATTTGACTGAACAGCAAGAAAAGGATCCCTAACTTTTGGCAGTTGCATGTTCTGCTCTCTTAAAAATTTAGCATACATTGCCTTAAAGAGTTAAACATGCTTGAAGCCCAAAATGGCAGTGAGGCTCAAGGCAGGCAGTTATCCTAAAGCCAGAGCCTCATAAGTCACCGAGGAAGCTGTATCAAGAAACCAGAGGAGTGAAGCTTGGTATTAGTCCCTAAACAACAGAACAAAAACTCCATGGTTAAATTTGCTTTAAATGCTGCAGTTTCTTCCAAAGGCCTGCAATTACTGCTCAAATGCTAATTTTGCAAACACTTTCAAACTATGTAAAAATCCCTCTTCATATAAACCAAACTTTAAATCATGCTTTCCCTCTCCTACTCAGTACAAACAGAAAGCTGCTGCTGCAGAGTACAGAAACAGAACATCTGAATCTGAAGAAAGCCACAGCTATGCTATGATAAAGTACTGCTTACAAACATTTCTCTACCAAAAAAGCATCTGCAATTTCAGACCACAGTGAACAATTTACCACAAACTAGAAATTAGCCATATGTGCTGAAGTGAAATAAAAGTATTATCCATCACTGAGGCACTCGTGCACATAGTTTCAATGTACAATTTATCATTATCCAAAGGCACAGCCCCTGTAAATCCAGCATTAGAGTACCAGTACAGAAAATAGTTTGCACCCAAGCACAGGAAGCATGCTGCATGATTCAGAGGGAGAACACAAATGTCCGCTGACATTAAGTTATTAAGCACCATCTCTGATCAAACACTGTCAAACATGACTATAGAAAAAACCTACAAAGAGAGCAGTATTAGTTCAGCACAGGACACACAAGCAAGTGCTCCCCTGCAACACCCACACATGCACACAAAGCAAACCATACAGTCCCTGCCACTGCATATTGACTCGATCCCTTCACTTCATTTAAAAACAACAACAACAAAAAATCATGCAGCCCTGACACTGCTCCCGGACTGGAGGTTGTCTCTCTCCCAGCAGAAGCTGCAAGGTTTCAGCTCCTGATTAGCCCAGGGAACCGGTGCCTGCTGCAATATCCCAGTCACTTACTGCATTGCTTTTCAGCGGAGCGAAAGTGGCTGCTCTTCCCGGGCACACATGGCTCGCTCAGCCGGAGGGTTCTCTATTCAGCACAATTCAGCTCCAAAGTCTCTGCATGTGGAGGGGAATTGCCTGTGCTCTGTACTGGGGGTTTCTGGCTGCAGTGGCTGCTCACCCTATCCATTGCCTCTGGTGTATGCTAAGTAAGCAATCCCCTGGGTCTTCATAACGAAAGGATGAAGAGTCACAGCTTTCGAGAGCAGATAAGGTGTTCTGCCGAGAGCCTCTGTGCTTCCATGGCATTTTAAAGGCAAAGGGGCTGGGGATGCTTCATCTTGCTTTACAGTTCTTTATCGAGCAAGTTGTCGTATTCTGTAACTTACAGTCAAATTTGCAGCTGAACTCTAATTTTTTTGTTTCAGAAAGAGCTCAAGTTAGCATTACAAATTCAAGCCAATGCATTTTTTAAATGCTGAGGAGCACTCTTTCAAATGAACTAAATCTTCTGTTTTTCAGAAGTACAAGTGAAGGGGAGGGGTTTCCTAGCTCTGAAACGGACTGTACCAGCCCTGCTGGATACAGTCAAAAAGTAGTAGCCTAAAACTTCACAGATTTAACATCCCAGATTTAACAGGCTCAAAGCATTGCTCTAGTCTTGAAGGAGGGACTGTCACCCTTGTCCACTGTCTGCAGAGTGTCTGACACTGTATGGGGGGTCCTGCCTGCAGACAAGGTAGAAATAATGAGCAGCAATAATAAGGAGGCAGAATGAGCAAGAGTCACAGTGAATAATTTCTCATTAGGGATCCTAATCTTTCACTGCACGGAGGTGTTTGACTCTGTGCCTTTGGGAAGCAGTGGGGGAATTGCACTTGCTTTCCCTGTAACCGGCTGGAGTGAGGTGTAGGACGGGCAGATTTGTGAAGCTGAACTGCCGCCCTCTACCACCCTGACCTTCAAAGGGACTCACAGGAGAAAAGCCCCATTCTGGGGCTGTGCTTACCTGTTCCCCAGGCCTGCTAATGCTGATTGTGCCTAACCATGCATGGCAAGCCTGTGAAAACAAATACATTGCAGTCCTGCGGGCAAAAGTGAGATACTTTCTCCACTTAGGCACCCCCAATGGGTAACACAGCAGTCATTACTAAACATTTCTGAAGAATTAGGTGCTGTGTAAGGTGTCGATTAGGGCCCCCAGGGTTCTTGGGCAGGGGAAATTTTCTCTGCCACTGAAGGTAGCTTTAGACATCATGAGAACAGCAGCAGCCTCGAGTTGGTGAGAGAAGGTTTTACCCCTTTAGCAATGGCTTTGAGCTTCCCCAGTGGCTGATTATCCTTTCAGATAGCACGGGGAAATCCCAGCCACCAAAACAGTGTGGATAATAAATTTTGCAGGACTATTAATTGGATCCTTTAGAAAAAGGGCAGTCAAGGACAGACATCTAGAAAGAGGCCATCATGTCTTTTTTCCTTTGGAAAGTGTTTTATTACCTGGAATTTCTGTACAAATGCAGCTTTCTACAACACCCCTCAGCGTCGTTTGTCCTGTACCTATTGTTTACTGTGCTGTAACTTCTCCCTGTGAAAATGCCAAAGATGCTTAGTCTTCCTGCCTGACAGATGTTACTGGAAAGGTGCTGCTTTGCACTTTCCCAAAAATAACACCTCAGAAGAGAGGGGAAACCAGCACATATTGGTGTCAGTGCCCATGGGTTCCGAAGATTTGTGAAGACATTCCCGTAGTAGAAAAACTGACCTTTTTTTTCTCACCCTTGTGCTCACAACAGTGTTTAGCACCTCAAGGTAACAAATTTGTTGAGTCATAGAAAGTAAGAACCAACAAAGCTGTCTTGAATTTCAAGTTTCTTTTATATAGTAATTATGTATTATGTGCGCATCTTAACTTTTAAAATGCAGACAAGGCACAGTCCCTGTCCCAAGGAGTATCCAGTGAAGTCAGGCAAAATGATGCAGGCATGTAACAACCAGGATTGCCAGGGGATAGCCTTGCTGCAAGCAAAGCAGGAAAACCTGGATGAATTTGGGAGCCGCTGCACTGGTAGCAGAAACAATTAACTCACACTGAAAGATCTCAGCTTTTATAGGACCCTGTAGAAAGGAACTCCAATTCTTCTCTTTATTCCTCCCTCACCCTTTTGGAGTATATTGATCCTTCGAGTAAGTCCATTTACTTTCCTTGGTTGGGGGATAAGCTATAATGGATTTCTTTGAAGTATGAGTTGGACAAAAATAATCAAGTCAACAGCGTAATTAGGTGTGGACCTTTTTAACATTCCAGGAGACACCAGCCCTGGCCATGGGCAGATAAGTAGTTATTCTAACAAGCATAATAATCTCATGTTCTGGAGCTGTGGTGAGGGAAGGATTATAGGTTGCAATGGATCATTTTCCTCTGGTTTTCTGGGCTCCTTGCCTCAGTTCAATAACACAGAAACTCTGCTATGCTAACATATCACTTTACTTTCTGCTGGTTAACAGTATTTTAAACCCTGAAAACAAAGAACCAAGCAACTGATTTACTGGGGAGGAGGCACAAAGGACAACAGCATTGACTCAAAGCCTCTAGGAGACATTTAAAATTTAAAAGCACAGTTGTGCCCTCACCCAAAACCCCCACAAGACCAAAAGAAACCCCAAACTGTCTATGTGGTCATTTCAATAAAAAAATAAATATATTGTAAAATAACTGTCACATTTAAGGAACAGACCAATAAATAGTCTGGGAGTGTGGGGTTGTCAGTTTGTTGTCGTGTGGGGAGGTAACAGTGACTAAGAAATAGTATTGCACAAGATGATTTAACTGAGGAGATTTTCCAAGCCAGCCACAGAGTATATTGTATTCACAAACTGCAATAAAGGAGAATTGAATTTTAACCTTCCTGTTAGAGAAATATAAAGAATTTATAATTGATTCTGGAGGTGTAATATTGAGGAGAGCCATATAGTGCAGAGTGCTTGCCTGTGAGAAAAGTAAACTAGTTCATGTATGAATTTATGTTTATTGTAAATTTATGTATTTATTTGTCATGAATACATAAAGATTTACATAGTAACAATACATCTGTGTCAAGAACAGATTCCATACCCTTAAAAGAATTTGGGAGCATCCTGGGTATGCCTTTACTGAGTTAGTGTCACAGGTTAATTGTGGTTGCATTTAATATTCCTAGAAATAGCCTGGGATAACTTTTGTACAGCAAGATCAAGAGCATGGCCTGCACAGTGGGAAGCTGAGCTGGAGGCCAATGTCTGCAGGAAGATCATGTTGTCACTCCTTTTTCAGGTGGGGAAGAGAAAAATGGGGAGAAAGACACTGAGCAAACGCTTATCATGTCACTCGAGTCATCAGAGGACTCAGAGAGTACAACTTAAGGTTACAAGCCAAGAGTGCTTTGTGCCTCCTTCCAAAGTTAGGCAAAAGATCATCCTTTTTCCTTACTTATTTAAATAAATTATGCAATTCAAATTTGAATTATTCTCTTGCTTCGTCATCTTTCAGCTGACTCTATGGTCAGCTGCTCGCTGCAACTTATAGAAATCAAGGACTAGAAGAAGGACTTCCTTGCTGCACATCATCTCGTGGTGGTAATTAGAGGAAAATAACTATAAAAAATAGACATTTGCACACTGAGTTAGGACAATAATAGTTTGCTTGATGTGTAAGATCATATTTGCATACACACTGAATTAAACTTGTCACAGTTGAACTGTGTTTAATATGTGAGATGGACAGCAATTCATAGCGATACCACTAATGATCTGTATGCTGCTATTCCAGAATAATTTGACCTAAGTTGAATGACAAATGCCTTAATTTTCACCATAAGCATATAACTACAGATGAATAATTTAGGACTCTACTTTAAACACATCTTTACTTATTTCAGATGAATTTTCCTGAATATGCCTACGTAGTCAGACAAAAGTATGGGAGTAATGTTTGTCTCCTCTAGGAGGACATTCTCAAATCTTTCTTAAACTGATTTCATTCTATTCCATTTGAGATATTACAGTTTGTGAAGATGAGGAGAAAAAGGAACTGAGTATTTAGTCAGCAAAGCATCTAATTTGAATTAGAGACGTGCTTTCTAATTTAATGGGACGCTTAACTATGGGGATCAATATCTGAATTAGCTTATGTTTTTCTCTTAAATTAGCAGATTGCATAGTCTTCTATAATCTGTTTCATCTTTTTTTCTTGAGTTTCTCTTGGTGCTCTTACTTTTATTGACATGCTACAAATAAAATGTGTTATTTAATTCACAACTTTTCATCCATAATATTTTCCAGTTTATGAGTTCAACTTTACTTTCCTTACCCTTTCCAAATGGTTGTTATGTCTCAGATCAAGAATGAAAGGAAATCCTCCTGTCACAGGGGAAAATCCAGGTATGTCCCCACTTTAAAACTGAAAGTGGGATCATGGAATTTGAACTTGGTCTAACAGAATATTTAAGATCAATTTACAAAAATTGTAGTCCCTGTGCCCAAAAATGCATTAGACCCTTCAGAGTTGATGAGAAGGCAAGCCCAGCCCTAAAAAAACCCTTGAGTTTGGCAAAGGCATGTGCTCTGAGGGGATGTGGGAAGCTACAGTTTTGTATTTCAGGATGAGGGGAAGAAGAGCAAAGTGTTCCTGAGGAAAGCAGATGATGTGAAGGGAAAGGCATGCAGACAGCCCCGACTGTCCATGAGATCAGAGAATGTCTTTTCTCCAAACACATTTTGCATTTGGATCATGCCAATGAAATTTTTGGGCAACTGACTGATATTAAATTCTGGCTTTTGTGTTCATTTTGGAGGTGGTTTTGACTTGAAAAGAGATAATCATAGGCTGAAGGGTAGTTTATGTGGGGCAGTTTTGACTTTGACGACATGGGGGTGAGAACTTGAGGTGGTCGTGGCAAGAGACTGGAGCTACTGAGAGCCCTGAACAGCAGCTGAGGAGAGGGGTGTGGGAAGACAGTGGTTTAGCTGCCTCTTGGACATACTGAAGAAAAAGCAAAGTGAGACCTGGAGACTACGAACAAACCCCAGTCCCAGCTATCCCAGACTGTACCGGGAGAGAGGCTGGGAATTCACAGCCCTGATACAGGTTATGAGATGAAGCCAGGACAGGCGACTGGTCTCTTAGTGCTCTTCTGTGATGGTTATTTATTGAGCAGCAGTGAGAGATAATGAAGTTCCTTTCCCATTTGAACATTGTTAATTCTACCCATCAAACCTCCTTTGGTATTGAAAATTTAGAGGAATAAAACAAATTATTTTTATGTAGCCAGTTCCCAAAAGCCTCCAAGAGAATGAAAGTTGAACGAGATCTTCTGAGAAATATTTTTTTCTCTTTCTCCTGTGTCTTTGGGGAAATGTGTGATCTGACGAGCTTCTTATCTGTGCATCTTTATTCTTATTCTCTTCAGGGCTAAAGTCAAACACTCAAAAGGCTGGGTCAAAAGAATTGCAGTAGTGGAGAAAGCG